GTACACATTTGACATTCAGGTATACATTTTGTCAGATCTCCTGTAAGTAAATATCGTTTAACTGGTGGTGGAAGGGTGGTGTTTCATTTTTGCAACATTACTTTTAGGTGGTGTGTTTTAAACTTCCTTTTAAAAAATAAGCAAATTTGCCTTCCTGGATTACATTCTATTTTAACTGAGGGGAAACTGAACGAAAAAAAACATACTGACTTTCCAGAAGCAATAGAGCACATGCTCTGGAGTTCATCATTTAACTGAGAAAAGATCAGAGCAAGATGAACAGAACCCAGATTCACAATCTGTGGCACAGGCTCTAGTTGGAGGCCTGTCCCTACTGGTGTCTCCCACCAATAGTGGGCCCAGTCTTGTTTAATTTACCCATCAATGACTTGGATGAAGGGCAGAGGCCTCCTCAGCAATTTCACTGACAGCACAAAGCTGGGAGCAGTGGCCGATAGCCCAGAGGGCTGTGCAGCCCTTCAGAGGGACCTCAGCAGCCTGGAGAGATGGGCACAGAGGAACCTGCTGAAATTCAGCCAAGGCAAGCGCAGGGTCCTGCAGCTGGGGAGGAACAGCCCCAGGCACCAGCACAGCCTGGGGGTGACCTGCTGGGAAGCAGCTCTGTGGAGAAGGAGCTGGGGGTCCTGGTGGACAACAAGCTCTTTTGGTGACCAAGGCACGTGGCATCCTGGGCTAAATTCCAAAGAGCATTGCCTGCAGTCCAAGGAGAGTGATCCTGCCCCTCTCCTTGGCCCTGGTGAGGCATATCTGGAAGACAGACAAGGAGCTCCTTAAGCAGGTCCAGTGTAGGGCACTGGAGACAAAAAGACCAAAGAGAATAAAAGCTAAGTATTTATATTGGTGTAAAATATGTCCTGGAAATAAGATAAAAGATAAGATAGAAGCCAGACAGTCATCATAAACAGCTGACAGAGTATTTCAAGTTTTGGGAGAGGAGAAAAAAGCCACTGCTAAACAATAAATCTAATTCTGGTGGTTTGATGCTTCGCATGTCTAAATAGCTCTCTTGGTCTCTTTGCTGGTAATTATGTAAAAAACAACTGGGACATGATGTTTATTGGTTTTTTTGTTCTATTCATAATCCATTGTAAAGGCAGCCTAAACAAATCAACATTCCAACTAAGTTAAGAGGAAAAATAGTACAAGGATTGATATTCAGAAAAATATTATATGCCTTCTTCTATGAAACTGCTTTGAAAATAAATTCATTCTAAGATCAGTGCCAATGAATGAGGCAAATCTTACTTCAAACCATTATGTTCTGTTGATATAAATATGGTGACTAGCAGATGCTGGGACAAGTGAAGGAAGGAGAACCCGAAAAACCTGATAGAAACAGGACAAATATTGTGACAAATCTGTCAAGTGCAGATACTATTACAATGAACTAAAGTATAATTAAATTAGAAATGGAAATGAGACACTATTTAAGCCAAATTGCAAGCAGAAGGGAAAAAGAGAAAACCTGGTATGATGCCATATGCAGCTTTCAGTTTTAGGAGGAACATTAATCAGATTCAGTAAGGACAGGGTCAAATACATACAGCAGTTTCCAAAACTACGAAAAGAATTTTATATAGTAGTAAGTGTTAACATCAGTTTCAGCTATATCATTACCTCTGTGGATACATGTATATTATAGTCTTATGGCAAAGAGTAACATTTCATTTAAGGTTGTACTGGAGTTTTCATTTTACCAGGTTAATGAATAATTATAGACTGAAATTATTTTAATATGTGTGTACGTACAAACATATATAAAACTACAGCTCATACTCATACTGAAATTCTTTGAGGTATCTCTGCAAAATGCTCTTTATTTGCCTGTTCCATTGCACAAAATGGCATTGATTAATACAACTACAGCTAATGTAGGGGGAGAGGGAAGGTAGATCAGAGAATGAAAATACAGCTGAAAAAATGGAAGTTAGAACAGGGCTACCACGCTGTCATAAGACTGGAAACACTGCAAAGCAGCAACAGTCTGGGCAAACTGTGAGATAAAAACCACAAAGTGTTGTTATGGTTATTATTTTTATGGCAGAATGTAAAAGCTTCTGAAGATAAGCAGAAGGGCATGAGAGCTGGGGAGAAGACCTAACAGTAGTAGTAAGATAGGGTGGAAAAAAAAATTGTCCTCAATGAGCTGTAGGAGGAGTATTAAATTTCCCTCATTAAGGAGGCTTTGTTACTTTTGCTCAGCTTACTCATCTATTCCAGACAGCATTAAGTACTCATCATAAAAGAAAACATGAACATTTGGGCTGGCTGCAGCACAAAAATATCTCCAGATACATGATAAGGTTCTCCTAGAACAAATTTTGCATCTTTTAAACTATCTAAAACATAATGCAAAGTCCAGACAGCAGTCTTTCGAATCACAACATCACCAGTGAACAGCTGGGCCAGGAATTCTTCCAGTTTTCTCTGCTTTGATTTGTAAAACTGTTTGGAAGGTACATACATCAGGGACCTGGACAAGGGACAATTCTTAGCCTCAAAAAACCCAACCCTATACAACACAACAAAAACAAACAAAACAAAACAAAACCAAAAAAAAAAAAGTCTCTTTCCCAAAAAATCCAACACTATACAACGCAACAAAGGCAAACCAAACCAAACCAAACAAAATAAAAACCAAACCAACGAGGAACAAAAACCAAAACCCACACACACAAACCAAAAAACTCCCTGTCAAAATAACTAATTTGAAAAATATTTCAGCAAGTTTCTGAATTTTCCTCCATTCCAGGACCTCCTAGTGTTTCCCATGAAGGGTTGCCTGCACACATGGCTTTTTTCCTTTGAAGGTAACAAATACAGTCAAAATGTTTCTAGCATTTTAGTTTCAACATGGACTCACACTTATAAAATACTTTAAAAGTACACACTTGTCAGACTTAAAAAATAGAAATAGTACATATTCTTTCTAGCAAATCAAAGGACAACCTTTGTAATTACACAATCAGAAACAAGACTACAGAAAGAAACGAGAAAAAACAAAATATGTCCTCAGATTACCCCTCAAATTTCTAAATAATTTCTTTGAGATACTTGAAAAAGGAAAGAGATATTAATTTTAGAGAAGCCAATTAAATGGGATTCTGGTGTCCTTACAGCAAAGCTGGCAGGAATCAGACATCCCAATTCATATCCTCTTCTCAATCAGCACCTCAAGACAAAATCCTTTTCTTTTCACCTCTTTTAATTTCAAACTTTATTTCTGGTTCTTTCACTAGTGGACTGGTATTTAGTTGGCAAAAATGATTCTGAACATCTCTTCAATTCCCTCACTTCACAGTAAACAAATGCAGTGCAGGAAAACCACAGCCCTTCCCAGAGCTTTTCAAGATGGCCTTCTTAGTTTGACTTTCTTTAATTGGGTTTCTCTTCTATTTCAAATAGCTTTCTTGCTTGTCAAAACATTTTCAATGCTGTCATAATGTTTTTGTAAATGTTATGTCACAAAGAATACTGCCTGTATGTACAGCTTTATCAAAACTGCAGATTTTGATTTGGACAGATGCCCTGAATATTTAGAGATTTTAGAGTTACATGCCATTTCAGTGGAGAGCATCCCTCACACACCCCCCAGCCCAGATGTGAAAACACAAACACACATATGCTGATGGAATTTTATGGCCCTATAGGGTCATGCTGTGGAATAAAAGTGCTGGTTTTGCAGATACCCAAGGAAAAACTTTGTGACAAAAAACCAAACAACCTCTTTCTCAAATATGGCAGAACAGTGAAGAAAAAAAAAATAGAGAGCAAGAGAGAAAGAAAATTGTGTTTGGAAGTTGTCAAGCTTCTGTAATACAAAAACAGCAGAAGAGTAAAGGGATATGACTGTTTTCTTTCCCGTATGTAGGGAGCTATGCAGCTTAGGATGTTCACATGAGTCTGTAGGAATCTTCATATCTGTGTGTACATATAAATAGGCATGCAAATATATAATAAATGTAAGTTAGAAATAAGAAGTTAGACAAAATATAAAATCATTTTCTGCAGTTTAGGGTTCTGTAATTTTTTTCCTTATGGTTAATTTCAAGAATTCATGGAGGCAAAACCTGCTTTGCAGTTTGCAAATACTTCTAGCTGCTACCTGTACTAGGAAATACAACATCTCTGTAGTATAAGAAAACATCATTATCTTAATTGCCTGAATGCTGGGGGAAAAGTACTGACAGCAGAAATAACATATGAACAACATGTGAACAACAGCTGCCCAATGAAGAATTTGTGAGCAGCTTTTTTGCTTGACTGGTGGGAATGTCAAAGGCATTGTTCAGCATAGAGCAATTCATGCCACTTTTTCTGATCACTCCTTTATTGCAGGAAAAAACTAAACTGGGTAGTATATGAACCCTTGATGAATGCAACATGGAATGAAATTTTATGTATCAAACCTACATGCAGAATGGGAAAATAAATTTAAAATTATATTCAGGGCCATGAGGAGAACTAAGAAGACAATTGCCAAAAGGAGAACAATCTAAAATAAATTCTTTTTTATTCTTAAAGTCCTTTTTCTATTTTAAAGGAAGCTATCTTTTTCTTACTGATGTAAGAATGCAATGGTTGATAAGCCATTGCATCCAAACACTTAGTTATCACTTCAGTAGTTCATTTTCTAAAAAAACATCAATTTTCTCAGTGTAATGCCATTTCCCAGTAAATTTTTTTTTTCTGCTTGTTGAAAAGAAAAAAGTACAGAACTATTGATGGGCATTCTTCTGTGTATTGCAAAAAACCCAAACCATTCTTTCTCTAGATTAATATTCATTTTAGAAAGTTGATTCATATGCCATGCTAACAAAATCCTATCTTCCTGTAGTATGATAACAACATGTGATAAAACAATTTCTCCATAGATCTCCAGGTGCTTCACAGAACACCATGAACTGGAGACACACTGAAGAGAATTACATAAGGTCATGAGGTCATAGTGAAAAATTCAGAAAGAAAAGTTGGATCACCTGTACTCCAAGTGTGAGGTCAGACTATATGTTTACCTCCTCTTCACAAGTAACTGTAAACCCGTTCTGTTCCCATCATTTAGTCAGAGTGTAAGAGATGAAAAAGATTCCCATGTAACCAGAGATGTCCATCTCTTCCATACAGCAGGAATAACCTGACCCAAGATAGGGAGTAGCAATTTTTCATTAATTTTGTCATTGTAGTTACTCCAGTACAGGTTCTTCACAGCAATATAGTGCTATCAAGAGAACCATAATGAAAGAATTAAGTTGGCAACACAAAGACACTCAAAATGTGTCATAAACTATAAAACCATACCTGAAAAAGATAGTTATTATGACATTTACTTTCTCCACTGCATGTAACAGGAAGAGTTACCTGCCCCTTACACATCCAAGAAGGAATTAACAGAGCAGTAAAACTTAAGGTATAGATAAAACAGTTATGAGCCCATACAGCTTCTTATTCCCAGGAAATATTTATATAGAAAAAACAACTAACCTTGTAGCAATTACCTACTGAAAATTAAGGAGCAAATTTACTTTCTTGAACAAGTCTCCCAAATATCACTGCCAGGACAGAGAAACTGAGCTAGGGATGTCTCCGCACTGATCCCATTTGGGCAAAAGTGCTAAGTCAAAGGTGTTGTATAGAATTCAACTCTTGATATTCACTTACCATATGTTCAGAGAAAATATCACATTTTCAGTTAGTAAATATTCTGTATTTGAGAAGCACATGCAAAAAAATTCTGCAGATTAGTTCAGTGGACAAAAATATTATATTCTCTTCCCTTTTTGTTGTCAGAATTGTATGAGCAAAATTACATTCTATTGACAAAAGTTTTACGGAACTTAGTTGTAGAATACTTTGTAAAATGAATATATAAATAAAGCATTCATAGAAGAAGGGGAGTGGCAGTTACTGAAAGCCACTTTTGCAAGCAAGATACTTTACCTCATGTATGATTTCGACTGAACTCACTAACTCCCTTGATTCAGAATATATTTTGGGTAAGAAGCAGTCTTTGTAGTGGTTAAGAAGAAAGTAAATTTAAGCCTGGCCATGGCAATACAATTTTAGGCTTTGGCAATGAAATTTCAAAGTATAGTCAGGCTTCCATTTCTAAGTTCAAATATGTGTAGGGAGGAGGGTGGAAATAGGAAATTTCAGTTATTTCCATCTTAAACCAAAGGAAAAGCTTTGGCTCGAGCCCCTTGCAAATGCCATTGTAGCACATATCAGGTACACAAGTAGCTGGACCCAGGCATCTGAAACTTCTGTCTTTAATTTTTAAGGTTATTCAGTGGCACTGGGAATGGGACATATTGGCACCCTATTCTAATGCCCACCAGTTTAATCCTCTGTGGAAGAATTAGCTATTATGTCAAATACATTTCCACTCTTACTTTCAGTGCTGATGCAAGTCTGTTCCACTTTGCTCACTTAGCAAGTTTTACACACAAAATTCAAGGTACAGAACAAATAAAAAATTAGTAATATTTCTTTGAAATTGAGCCCCAGTTCTGTAGCATCCCCTCAGACTTCTGAAATAATAGATATTTTGCCTGATTGAAAAGTGCTAAATGAAGGCCTTGCAAAATGAACATGAATTGAATAAACTATTGAGGTGTTTTTGTAGACACAGTATGAGGTTCTAACTAAAGAGGATACAAGAAAACTGGGGGAGGGAAAGGAAAATGAAACATCTCTTTAAAAGCCTCCACATAAACAGAAAATGGTTGCAGCTTCTGGTAGAAAATCTGCAGCCAGGTAACATTTTTGATCATAAGCTGCTATATTCATTGTGACCACCTGAAACACTGTGACACACCTATTGACCAAAGCAATTTTTGTGTGACTCCAGTGGTCCCCTCCTAGAACCATCCCAGACTAACTCTGTTTACCCTAAGCAGCCATGCCAGTTTTATAGCCACATGTTGTGACATATGCTCACATTCTTTATTATACGTGATATCAAAATCCATTTTAAAAACAGGAAATTTAGCCTTTTCCTCTGGTAAAACCAACACAATGTTCTATCTTGGTGCACTTTTAGGGGTTTGTTATTAGATCAATTCGTAATATTCTTTGGAAATCATATATATGCATAAGTTTGGCCAATGGCTCACTGTGTATGAAACTTTGAATTTGTAACATTCATGAATAGAATGGACTCAGGAAACTGTTTAAATTAAATATGGCAATTAGATATAATATATACAAGAACAGACATGCACTGCACATTTTCCACAACTACATGGCCAAAAAAAGAAGTGTGTATATGTATGTGTATACACTTGGTTTTATATTCATACAACATTATGTCATCAAGTTAGAATTCAAAAGAATAAAAAATGAAATTATTGATATGTACCAAGTAATACTACATCTGAGATTTTTCAATGTTTTTCTCTCACAGTGTAAATATATATATACACAATGCAGGTGGTTCATACTTTCATAGAAAAGAGTTGCTCCGCCTTCATGAGTTAACTGAAACCTTCTCTTTACACCTTTTCTCTCTTCCAGAGATATTGTACCTATTGTCTAAATTACTCCCTAGTCCCATCTGACTGTTATGAGGTTATTTTTCAGTGAAGATCTGCAGTGAAGCCCAAAGGGGTGCACACTGTTCAGGAGGGACAGATCAGGAGGGCACAGTAGTGGAATTGTTATCTGTGTCAGGCAACACTTGATAAGTGTCAAGCTCTGTTGCGGAGTGCATTATGAGCAAGTCAAGAGCTTATGGAGCAGGATAAAAGGGCAAACTAGTTAAGAGTGACTCCTGTCATGCTTCCTCCAGGAGGAGGAAGTGGACAAAATCATCTAGAAGCTGCTTGAAGCAGTCTCAAAGTCAGAGGCACTAGGTCTTTTAGGTGACTTTAACTAGCCAGACTTCTGGAGAGGCAATGCAGGGAAGCACAAGCAGTTCAGGGTGTTCCTGGAAATCCTGGGTCACAACTTCCTGCTGCAGGTCGTAGAGGATCCCACAAAGAATGGTTTGCTGCTCAACCTCATACAGAACAATAGGGAAGGCCTTGCTGCAGATATGAAGGTTGGGAGCAGCTTGGCTGTAGCTACCATGACTTTGTAGAGTTCAGTTTTAGGTGAAGACAAAGCAGGAGGACAGAAATTAAGATTGTAACAGGTATCTTCTTGGAAGAACCCCATGGAAACAAGCCCTACAGAGAAGGGTACTCCAAGGGTAGTACAAGAAAGCTGAGTTATATATAAGGATCACTTCCTTCAGGCTCAATAACAATGCATCCCAATGAGCAAAATATCAGGAAAAGCAGGCAAGAGAACTGCATGGATGAAGAAAGAGTCAGACTTAAGAATGAAAAGGATGGGAGATGGAAAGCGAGCCAGGTCTTTGCATGACTCCAAAGAGGTTGTCAGATTAAGTAGAAGTAATTCCAGGCCATCTAGAATTAAATCTGGATACAGGTGTCCAGAAGAATAAGATGGGCTTCTTAAATACACAAAAGCAAAGTGAAGGATAATGTGGGCCCTTTAGCAAATGGAGGGGGGACTGGGCCAGCTGAAGATGCGGAAAGGCAGAGTTACGGAACACCACATTTGCACTGGCCTTCATTGACAAGACTTTCTTTCAACTGGGTTGGAAAAAATTAAAGACAACACAGATACATTAAACAGTTATGATAAAATAATACTATTTTTGTGATAGTTTCAGACACCCTCGAGCTGACTGAATGATCTTTCAAAGAAGTTTTACTTTATAGTATCCCTGATGTGCTTTGGTGACACAAAGGTTATGCTTAGCCTTATGTTGTTTTGGGGCTTTTTGTGAGAAGTAAATATAAGGCTTGTGTAAATTACAAATACATACGCACTTTTTAAAAACAGTTGTGATTTTGTTACTGTCATAAAAAGTGCAGATTAGAAATAACTTGACAAAATTCAATAAATGAGTGACCACTGTTGGTAACTGGATAAACAGAGAGAAAAAATAAATGAAAGAGCAACAAGAATCAATGCTTTAAAGAGACTGCATAAAATATTAAAATGAGGGAATAAATGAAAAGGATTGAGAATACTGTGATTAAAATGAATGAAAAATAAAACATAAGGTGAAATGATGAATAATAAATTATTTTATAAACACAAAAATTTAGAAGCTGGCAAGGGACTCTGTGGATTCCTTGTGGGAAGGTGAAAAAATAAAATATCAGAAAATGTAAATATTGTAATGCTAGAATGAGAGAAAGATTGTGAGGGTGAAATGAACAACAACTAAAAATAGAGATAATAAGAGTATCAAAAAACCAACAAAACATGAAATCAAGAGAGGTATTGTATTAGATTATGTAAAATTTAGAATAGAATAGAAATATTTGGCGAAACTGAAAATGCAACCTGCCTCAGTAAGCATGAGACAGATCATCCCAAAAATTCAAAGCAAAGACTAGGTAGGAAAAAAATCTCTCCAAACTGCTCAAGACAGAAATTCCTGACTTTGTGTTTATTTACTCACATAAAAGGTAATGTCCTATTCCATAGGTATGAATGGATCAGCAGTGATTTAAATAATACGTGTAGTCACATTAAAGATGATTCAAAGGACATAAAACAAGAAATCAGAAGATTGAATTTGATTGGTTTAAACTGGAGCAACTGACCTTCTGCTACGTTATTGTAATTTATTTAAAGTCTGAAGTCCTTCCTGATATTTTAAGAATTTGGGTTTAAGAATCTGCATTGTTCCTCTGATTTTCTGCATTCCTGAAACTTAATATCTCACCTTCAAATTTAAAAATTAAAATAAAAATAATAGAAACCATGACCAAAGGTCCTCTGTTGTTTCTAACCTCCCTAAAGCCTAATGCATGATGAGGATTTCTATTTTGATGAGAGTTGACAAGAAACACCAACCAAGCATTGTTTCAGACAGCTGATCTGCGATTAGCTGAAGGAGTCTTACAAAATTTTTTCTACCATTTGGAGTATAGATTGTCTCCCTCAGATGTATGCAGATCTTCATAGAGTTCCTTCACCTGAAACACCTTAATTAACTCTTCTGATGCCACTAATCAAATTTGCATTATGACTGCAACCTTCTGATTGGGAGTCCTTAGTTTTGGCCCTCATTAGAGCCTTAGTGAACAGTATTTTCAGAAATAAGATTTGTTC